TCTTTCTTTCTTTCTTTCTTTCTTTCTTTCTTTCTTTCTTTTCATTCTATTTAATCTTTCATGGATCTTTTCGCTCTTTCTTTCTTTCTTTCTTGCTTCTCACCCTGATTAATCTTTCATGGATTCTTTCTCTCTTTTTTTTAAGTGAATATGGTATATTTAATATTCTTTCTTTCTTTCTTTCTTTCTTTCTTTCTTTCTTTCTTTCTTTCTTTCTTTTTTTCATTCTCTTTAATCTTTCATGGATCTTTTTTTTTCGCTCTTTTCCTTTTTTTTGATTCTCACCCTGGTTTAATCTTTCATGGATTATTGCTTCTTTTTTTCAAGTGAATATGTTATATTTAATATTCTTTTTTCTTTCTTTCTTTCTTTCTTTTCTTTCTTTCTTTCTTTTTCTTTCTTTTCATTCTATTTAATCTTTCATGGATCTTTTCGCTCTTTCTTTCTTTTTCTTGCTTCTCACCCTGATTAATCTTTCATGGATTCTTTCTTTTTTTTTTTTTTTCAAGTGAATATGGTATATTTAATATTCTTTCTTTCTTTCTTTCTTTCTTTCTTTCTTTCTTTCTTTCTTTCTTTCTTTCTTTTCATTCTATTTAATCTTTCATGGATATTTTCGCTCTTTCTTTCTTTCTTTCTTGCTTCTGACCCTGATTAATCTTTCATGGATTCTTTCTCTCTTCTTTTTAAGTGAATATGGTATATTTAATATTCTTTCTTTCTTTCTTTCTTTCTTTCTTTCTTTCTTTCTTTCTTTTCATTCTCTTTAATCTTTCATGGATCTTTTCGCTCTTTCCTTTTTTCTTGATTCTCACCCTGGTTTAATCTTTCATGGATTATTTCTTTCTTTTTTTCAAGTGAATATGTTATATTTAATATTCTTTCTTTCTTTCTTTCTTTCTTTCTTTCTTTCTTTCTTTCTTTCTTTCTTTTCATTCTCTTTAATCTTTCATGGATCTTTTCGCTCTTTCTTTCTTTCTTGCTTCTCACCCTGATTAATCTTTCATGGATTCTTTTCTTTTTTTTTTTTTTTTTCATGAATATGGTATATTTAATATTCTTTCTTTTCTTTCTTTCTTTCTTTCTTTCTTTCTTTCTTTCTTTTCATTCTCTTTAATCTTTTATGGATCTTTTCGTTCTTTCTTACTTTCTTGCTTCTCACCCTGATTAATCTTTCATGGATTCTTTTTCTCTCTCTCTCTTTCTTTCTTTCTTTCTTTCGTGGTTTTATGCCAGATATTACTTCATCTCTTGAAATCCTTTTTTCAAACATTACAAAAAGAGCAAACATGTCCGTTCTTCCTTCCTTTCTCTATTGGAACAGCTAACAAATCCACCCGTACAAATAACACATTAAAAAAAGATGAAACAAAAATCGGACACAGGGCAAACTAATAATAGTAATAAAAAAGACCGGAAGTATTGTCTAAAAAGCCTCACTTCCGGGAAGGTGACATTTTGTTGTTCAGAATTTTCCGCATCTGGATTCGTGACGAAAGAAAGTTTCCGAGAATTTAGAAAGAAGCCTTTGCTTGCTTTGTGATTTCCACTAGCTTTTAATGGACAAAAATCAGATTGCGTGTCTATTGTCTGAAAAGTGGCGAGGCTTTGATGGGAGTTATACTTTTCAAAGAAAAACGGAAATTGTGCAGCTGCAAATAACATAGACTGTGTAAAAGAAGGAGTATTCTGGCTCAAGTGTTAGCGAACGGGACGAAAGGCTGGCTGAGAGAGGCAAGTTTAAGCAGACAGTATTTGTGCATCACTATATTTGCTTACGCCAAAAGGTTTTCTAACTTTCGTTTCGCCCGAATGTTTAAGAAGAATATGGTATGAAATATAAAACTTTTTTCTTCCTCCTTACTCTTTCATCTAACCAAGTGTTACACGACGATTTTTTTTTAACCAGCAACCCCTTTGGCCAAAAATTTTAGTCAACACTCCTCTGTCAAATTAAATTTTGAATATTATAGTGAATTAATCTTATCTCAATGTTTTCAATGCGATGGTTGACTTTGGTGCTTACTGGCTAAGTCTCTTACTCTAGATTCATTTGATAGCTTATCTCAGTGCAATGGTTAACTTTGGTGCTTACTGGCTAAGGCTTTTACTCTAGATTCATTTGATAGCTTATCTCAGTGCAATATTTGACTTTGGTGCTTACTGGCTAAGGCTTTTACTCTAGGTTCATTTGATAGCTTATCTCAGTGCAATGGTTGACTTTGGTGCTTACTGGCTAAGGCTTTTACTCTAGATTCATTTGATAGCTTATCTCAGTGCAATGGTTAACTTTGGTGCTTACTGGCTAAGGCTTTTACTCTAGATTCATTTGATAGCTTATCTCAGTGCAATGGTTGACTTTGGTGCTTACTGGCTAAGGCTTTTACTCTAGATTCATTTGATAGCTTATCTCAATGTTTTCAATGCGATGGTTGACTTTGGTGCTTAGGGCTAAGGCTCTTACTCTAGGTTCCATGATGCTTAGAAGTAATCGTGGATCGCCTCGTTTTAAAATTTGAAGGTAGTTTCTTTCTTTCGTAAGAAGCCGTGTAACTGCATTGAAACAGCACACATTATTTACATTTTAGTTACCACAGGAGAAGCTATCTTAAAGTACATCATAAAATAAATAAATCATATTTTTTATGTGTGACCTCCTTCCCAATACCCATTAAGTACATGGTGTCACGCCAGGCAAGTGTTTTCCAATCTTTTTTTCAACTAAAGTCCGCTGTGGGCACAAACTATTTTATCAACGCTCTCGCTGTCAAATTAAATTCATCTTTCATAGCAAGATAATACTTAGTTATTAATGAAAAATAATTTTAATATTTGCTTTTATTTATATTATATATGCTAATGATTAAAATACCCCAAAAACTTTTATTTGGAAGAGGTTATTATGTTTGCATTTTCTATTAATATGTTTCGACTAGAGTCTGGTAAGTTTTATGTGTGCTTAAATGTGTTCTAATAGAGCTATTGTCAGATAGGTGTAAGGTAAGCCGTTTGGATAGGTATGTAGTTGTGTGACCGATGTAATTATTTATGAATTCGGTTTGATCAGGAACACAGTTCCTTAAGAGGCATTTGAACTCAGATAATGTTCGTTGTAATTTTCATTTTTCTGGTGTGTTGTTATTTTTGAGGATAAAGTTTGCTGCCTTAAATTTTTTATAATAGATAATTAATTTGATTTTTTTATTCGGGTCAATTGGGGGTCGTGTATTTCTTTATTATATTTCTAAGTGATAAGTTACCAGATTCCTTTCGAAACATACTAGTAGAAAACATAATAATCTCATCCACTTGTAAAAAAAAAAGAGATTAAAAATAATGGAAACCTTAATAATAAAAAAGAAAAAGCCGACATTTAATAATATTAACTACGAACAAGGACACAATGTGCTAACCGTGTTCTGAAAATAAAACATCTCTATAACACTAAAAAAATACACATAAAGCACACACTCAATTAAACAGAAAAAAATTCATCCTTGATAATGGCTAAAAGTATAGCCGAAAGCGCTCGTAATTATAGAATTTTTGGACATATCTACACACTCTGTGTTCAAAAAAGATAGCACTTGTGCGAACACAAGAAAAATTAAATAAAAAGCTTAATCGTAGTGCCTTGTCTGTCGTTTTTAATGAAACGTGCATAAATGAAAGATTTCTGCCTAAATACACAATATCTATCTATCTATCTATCTATCTATCTATCTATCTATCTATCTCATTCTGAAGAAACATGAAAAAAGATGATAAAAATGATTAAAAATAAGAAGAAGAAGAAGAGGAAATAGAAGAAAAAGAAAAAGATTTGAAAAGATGAAGAAGAACTATGTTTAAAAAGAAGAAGGAGAGGGAATAGAAGAAGAAGAAAAGAGCAAGTTTAGATTAAGAAGAAAAAGAAGAAGGATTGAAAGAAGGAGAAGAATGAAGAAGAAGAAGGATTGAAAGAAAAGAAGAAGAAGGATTGAAGGAAGAAGGAATGAAAGAAAAAAAGAAGAAGAAATAGAAGGTGAAGCAGGGTGTTTGAAAGAAGAAAAATAGAGATTAAACGAAGAATGACAAGGAAAGACACACATAAAACACACACACACACACACACACACACACACACACACACACACACACACACATATATATATATATATATATATATATATATATATATATATAAAGAGAAACAGAGAATTATTAAGACAATTACAAAAAATATTTTGTTATATTTTGAATGTTTTATTTGAAGATAAATGCAACCAATTACTTTTTGTGTATCTGTGTAGAGTGTTCGATCCTTATTGGACGCCTCACATTCATGGCCTTATGCCTGACTTGGTTTTGAAGTATTTCATCAACTTATTTCTTTTTTTCTCGTCAACAAACAGAATAAATCTTTGAAGACACACAACCTGAAAAGAAAAAAAAATATGACAAAAAGAATAGAAAAGAAAATACCAAGACAATGGCTTCAGGTGATTTTTGGAAATCCATATTTCTTTGAAACTTTGGCCAGAGTCACATTGACCAGAATCATATTGGCCAGATTCTTTGATGTAAACTCTTCAATGTACGACCAGAATAATTTTTGACCAGTGAAGGTCCCAAAACAAAGAGAGATTTTTGTCAGAAATGAATTTCTTTCTTGGTTTCTATTATTAAAATCATGGGTCAATTACTAGTGCTTTCATTAGTAACCATTGGATGGGTAGATGCTGGTAGCGATTTTTTTGTTTTTATTGTTGCGCGAAGCCCTTGTCCCGGATGAACAATGCTGCTACCCTGGGGATAGCAGGAACCAGGTACAAGAAATCCTGAGAAGGTCTTTAGGGAAAGGACACTTAAGAAAGGGACACGAATTATTAGCGTAGCTTTCGTGATATTTAATCCTTAGAATTCGGTTGGCAAACAATGGCGCCTATGACTTTGTCGAGAGAAGACATTCGAAAAACACAGGAACAAAAACGAAACAAATAAAATTATTAATTTGGAAAATGAATACAACTTCTATCTATCTATCTATCTATCTATCTATCTCATTCTGTTTCTCTATCTATCTATCTATCTATCTATCTATCTATCTATCTATCTATCTATCTCATTCTGTTCATCTATCCAACTATCTATCTCATTCTATCTATCTATCTATCTATCTATCTATCTATCTATCTAAATCTGTTGTTATTTATCTTATTCCACTCTTCATCATTACCCTTTTCTTCTCTCTCTCTTATATATATATATATATATATATATATATATATATATATATATATATATATGTGTAAATATATTATTTTAATTTTAATCTAATATTATTAGTACTTCAAAAATTAAAAGATGTAAGTTAAGAAGGAGGATGCTTAGAAGAAGAAGAAGAAGAAGAAGAAGAAGAAGAAGAAGAAGAAGAAGAAGAAGAAAGAGTAGACGGAGAAGATGACGCGAAGGAGGAGGAGGAGGTTTAGAAAAAAATAGAAAAAAAGAAAGATTGGAAGAGAGATTAGTAGAAGAAAAATAATAATAAGAAGAAGACGAAGAAGAAGAAAAAATAAGAAGGAGAAGAAGAAAAAAGAAAAAAAGAAAATGAAGGATGTCTAGAAGAAGAAAAAGCAAGAATAAATAAAGAGGGGTTAGAAAAAGAAGAAAAGGAAGAAGAAAGATTCGAGGAAGAAGGAAATTTTTTTAAAGAAAATGAAGTTTAGGAGGAAGATTAGACGAAGAAAATGTTTAGAAGAAGAAAAAGATAAAGAAGAAGAAGGAATATTAGACGAAAAAAACTAGAAGAAAAAGAAAGAGAAGGACAAGGAATATTAGACGAAAAAGATTAGAAGAAGACAAAAAGAAGAAGGAGAAGAAGGAATATTAGATGAAGAAGGATTAGAAGATGTTTGGGAAGATGATGAAAAAACAAGGAAGAAAAAAGAGAAGAAGAAGAAGAAGAAGAAGAAGAAGAAGAAAAGAAGAAGAAGGAGTATTAGACGAAAAAAGATTAGAAGATGTATGAGAAGAAGATGATGAAGAAGAAAATGAAGGAATAAAAGAAGGAGAAGAAGAAGGAATATAAGATGAAGAAGGATTTGATGATGTATGAGAAAAATAAGACGAAGAAGACGACAAAGAAGAAAGAGAAGAAGAAAAAGTAAAAATAAAAAGTAGAAGGAATATTAGATGAAGAAGGATTAGATGATGTATGAGAAGAAGATGATGAAGAAGACGACAAAGAAGAAAGAGAAGAAAAAAAAGAATAGGAAGAAAGGTAGGAGAAAGAATATTAGACGAAGAATAAGTATGAGATGATATAGAAGAAGAAAGAGAAGAGGAAAAAGAGGAAGAAGGAATATTAGATAAAGACGTATAAAGATGTACGAGAAGAATATGGAGACGACGACAACGACGACGATGACGATGAAGAAGAAGAAGAAGGATGAGGAGGAGGAGGAGGAATGGGGAAGAGAAGAAGTAGGAAGAGTGGGAGGAAGATGGACACTAGTGAAAGGATGAGGGGAAGCAAAAGACGTTAGAATTGGCGAAACAAATGAAGTAGCAATAATTGGTAATTTAATAATTCTAAAAGACATGAGGCCAGAACATGACACAGAATAAAGAACACCAGAAAAGTTAAGTTAAAACTCTGAGGTTAGATCAAGTGACACGGGAGGTTAAAATGAAAAGAAAATGGAGAAAGTTTTTAAAAAAATCCTCCAAGATTCGCAAGAATGGTAAAAATCCAACTTTCAGGCAATTCCGTTTTTTTTCTTTTTTCTTCTTTCTACAATTATTTATGGATGCAGTGTGGTCACTTTTTAAATCTGCCCAGGACCTAACGAAGTTGCCCAGTCCAGTTGTAAACGTATTAATGACGAAGGAGCGGTCAATTTGACGTGTTAGCTTTTCCGTTTCACTGGCGGAAATGTTGGCCTCTTCGAAATGTCCAGGCCAAATATTAAATCAAGGAATTTGGACTGACATGCAGAAAACCTTTATTTTATTGAGTCTTTTTTGGCGTTTCATTGCTTGTTCTTTTTTGTTTTTCTTAATGGCACAGATAATTTCGTTGGAGTACAACGACTCGTTGATGTCCTGTAAAACTATTAATCCGAAGAGCTTAAAAAAGATTGGCTCGGCAATATATATATATATATATATATATATATATATATATATGTATGTATGTATGTGTGTGTGTGTGTGTTTGTGTGTGTATATATATATATATATATATATTATAATGTAAATATGTATAAAAACATAAACCAAAATAAAACATGGGTAAAAAACTTATGTCATGCGTAAATAAAAGCTACCAATACAAGTATTTGCATAAATTTTGGAGAAGCGAAAGCGAATTCTTTGTTTTAAAAGTTCCAAGAAAACTCTTTGGTCATCAGTTAAGCATCACAGAAATCCGTAGAAATATTCTTTCTTTTATGTTTTATGTCCTGTCAGGATCTGGGAGATCATGGCTCTCCACAACTTCCTATCCTTTGTAACCCTAATATGACTTCTATTCGCTGGTTTGCTGTCAATTTACACAAAGTCGTTAAGTTGATCATGGCTCTCCACAACTTCCTATCCTTTGGAACCCTAATATGACTTCTATTCGCTGGTTTGCTGTCAATTTACACAAAGCCGTTAAGTTGATCATAGCTCTCCACAACTTCCTATCCTTTGTAACCCTAATATGACTTCTATTCGCTGGTTTGCTGTCAATTTACACAAAGCCGTTAAGTTGATCATGGCTCTCCACATCTTCCTATCCTTTGTAACCCTAATATGACTTCTATTCGCTGGTTTGCTGTCAATTTACACAAAGCCGTTAAGTTGATCATGGCTCTCCACATCTTTTCTATCCTTTGTAACCTAATATGACTTCTATTCGCTGGTTTGCTGTCAATTTACACAAAGCCGTTAAGTTGATCATGGCTCTCCACAACTTCCTATCCTTTGTAACCTAATATGACTTCTATTCGCTGGTTTGCTGTCAATTTACACAAAGCCGTTAAGTTGATCATGGCTCTCCACATCTTCCTATCCTTTGTAACCCCTAATATGACTTCTATTCGCTGGTTTGCTGTCAATTTACACAAAGCCGTTAAGTTGATCATGGCTCTCCACAACTTCCTATCCTTTGTAACCCTAATATGACTTCTATTCGCTGGTTTGCTGTCAATTTACACAAAGCCGTTAAGTTGATCATGGCTCTCCACAACTTCCTATCCTTTGTAACCCTAATATGACTTCTATTCGCTGGTTTGCTGTCAATTTACACAAAGCCGTTAAGTTGATCATGGCTCTCCACATCTTCCTATCCTTTGTAACCCTAATATGACTTCTATTCGCTGGTTTGCTGTCAATTTACACAAAGCCGTTAAGTTGATCATGGCTCTCCACAACTTACTATCCTTTGTAACCCTAATATGACTTCTAATCGCTGGTTTGCTGTCAATTTACACAAATCCGTTAAGTTGATCATGGCTCTCCACAACTTCTTATCGTTTGTAGTTCTAAGCATATTTATCTCTGTATTATCTCTCCAAATCGTTTTTCCACCATCCATTTATACAAGCTAGTTATGCACGATGATTATGTCTCTCCACAGCTTCCTACCTTTTGTAGCTTTAAGCAATGTTTATCCTTTTACTATCTCTCCCAATCTCTTTTCTGTCATACATTTAGACGAGCTCGTTATATAGATTGATCATAGCTCTCCACAATTTCCTCTCCTTTCTAACTATGAGAAATATTTGTCTCCATAATATGACATCCATTCGCTTTTCTGCCATCCAAAGACGTTAATTATGCTGATCATAGCTCTCCACAACTTCCTATCGTTTGTAGCTCAAACAATATTTGTCTCCTTAGTATCACTCTCAATCGATTGAATGGTTGTCTAAACGTAAATCTTTTATCGTTTTCGTAGATACGGCCTTTAGATAAGACACATATTACTAAATTCAAAACCTCAAAAAAATATTTGATAATGGATAAAAGAATAGCCGAAAGCGCTCGAATATGTAGAACATTTGGCCAGTTTTTACACACTTTATTTCCAGAAAAAACTTAAAATGAAATAAAACTCAACTGCATCACAGTACCTTGGCAGTCTTATATATATATATATATATATATATATATATATATATATATATATATATATATATATATATATATATATATATATATATATATATGTGCTGTAAAAGGCCCACATTCGCTCAGTACATCAATAGATATTCTACAAAAAAGATATGTATCCATGGCCATAATCGGACACGAGCTGGCAAACCACCATGCGCGTACTGATGTATATATATATATATATATATATATATATGTGTGTGTGTGTGTGTGTGTGTGTTTGTGTGTGTGTGTGAAAAGTGTGTGTATATAAATATGAATATATATATATATGCGAAAAGTGTGTGTATATAAATATGAATATATATATATATATATATATATATATATATATATATATATATGTGTGTGTGTGTGAAAATATATAGAAAATAGGAAAGGACTGGTTAGGTGAATAATCCAAAGTTCCTTAGTATTTTTGTTATTATTTTAAAAAAATAGTGCTCGATACAAAGTAGAGCATAAATTCCTAAAATTTCGCTTGAAGATGAAGCGGGACTAAACACCTCAATTCAACTTAATTTTAATAATTATTTGGATGGTTTCGGCTGTCGTTTTGGAAACATGAGAACTCTTATGCAGCGAAGGAATCATTTTTTTTATCAAAAAATATTATTATAATATAAGCTCTACTTCTGTATGGAGCACTGTCTTCTTAAAAATAAAAACAAAATACTAAGAAACTCCGGATTATGCGCCCAACGTGTTCTTTTCTATTTTCTGCATACCTGCGCATATATATATATATATATATATAATTATTTATATATTATATGCATGGTACTTATTAAGCGCTCAATATCAGAGATAGAGCCAACATATTTGGTTGGAATGATGTGAGTTTCACATCAATCCAACCATATATATATATATATATATATATATATATATATATATATATATATATATATAAGAGTGGCACACACGCAAACCCTACACAACAGAGGAAGTGTGTGCGTGTGTGTTCGTGTGTATGTATATGGATGTGCATGTGTGTGTGTGTGTGTGTATATGTATATGTGTACATATGTGTATACTAATTTCTTATAATAAGACAGTATGTATGTAGAGGGAATACAGATATAAATTCGCATGCTGACAAAAACACAAAAAATGGAAATAGATCTAAGAACGCACAGGGGTCATTAAAAGATAATACAGATATCTTTCCTCGCCCTTTCTCGAACCAGTCTTAATTGTTTAATTACCCTTCACGCAGAACTTTTTCACTGATAGTTCAAGGAAGACATTTGGGTCACTAACACAAAAATATAGAATGTCTAATATCGAGAATATTTATCATCGAAAAACATAAGAAAAAATAATTCCTTTTCATAATATGTGTAGATATCAACTCTTTGCCTGATGAAGGTCGCGAGACCGAAAACTCGTGTAGCAAAATTATTGAAAATAAAGAAAAATATATTTAAAAAAAAATCCAGATTACAACCAAAAACGTTTGCGGTTTCTTTCTTCTTTTTAATATATACATTTTTCTCTCGTTTGAACTATTTTAACCTCTTCCCATTTTGTGTGTGATAGAAATTATTAGGAGGATTTGAGATAATTATAATTAATTAATTCATCGAGTCTAGAAGAATCCTCAACAGAATGCAGAAAGCACTGGACGGCCGTTTCGTCCTATATTTGGGACTCATCAGCAGTGTTTATCCCCTACCGAGAATCGAACCTAGATCGTTACGATACGACGAGGCGCACTGCTGATGAGTCCCAAAATAGGACGAAACGGCCGTCTAGTGCTTTCTACATTTTGTTGAGGATTCTTCGAACTCTGAATTCTATATAAATGATTATTCTATCACCCACCAAATCTCTATCATTATATATATATATATATATATATATATATATATATATATATATATATATATAGAAAAAATTAAAAATAATATTTTTTTATGAAAGTATTTATTTATTTATTTATTTATTATTATTATTATTTATATATATACTTTCAGAAAAAACATTATTATTTTTTTAATTTGCAACTTTTTCAATATATACATATTAAGAAAGTATACGTGGCTTCTCATTATGCTATATATATATATATATATATAAAAACATAATTTATATATAATTTAAATGCAATACACATATACACACAAATATGATTTATGATTTACATATATCCACATGTACAAATATAGAGGAATATACATCCAAATCTATATACATAGGTTCATACAAATATATATTACAATTTATATACACATATACGCAACTACATGCATACAAATATATATATATATATATATATATATATATATATATATATATATATATATATATATATACAAGTTGCGATGTATAAATTGTCGTCTTAATGGCGCAAAAATGAAAATAACAGACATCTTATTTTTAACAAAATTACACAAAACACGAGTAAATTTATTTAATAAAATCGCCATCGGATTGAACCACACCCTCCGACTTCGGATTCTCCTGCAACTCTTCCGAACGGTCTCCTTCTTTAACTTAGTGAATGCTGCCATAATCCTTGCCTTCAGGTCATCTTTGGTGTTAAAAGGGGTTTTGTTGGTGTCGCACGCGTAATAATTATGAAATGGACAAAGTCCAACAATTATTTTAAGACATTATTATTTATAAACAGTATTAAACAGGCCGGTAAATGTTAGTACTGTTTATTATAAACAGAGCATTTACTTAAATATTTTTATCTATAAAAAGAATGTATAAACATAAAAATGTCTTTAAAATAATTGTCGGACTTTGTCCATTTCATAATGTGTAACGTCATTTGTTTACATTGGGATACGCATTACATTGCTAACCGAACGCTCCTCTGTGGCCCAATCGGTTAAGGCACATCAGGCTATATAACGGTTCCGTATAGGATACAGGTTCGATTCCTGTCGGAGGACGCATATTTTCTATGAAAATTTCTCGATTATTACCGTATATTCATTAATTTATCTAGACTTGGGGTTTCGTCTTATCTATAGGTGCGTCTTATACGTGGAAATATACAGTATTCACTTTGTTTATTTAAAGGCCGAGTTTAACGTGGAACATCCGAGCCCTTTAGGCTCGGTCAAAAATTCCCCGTAGAACCCTCATAATCGGGATCGGGTTGGTCCATCTTCCCGAATGAGACTGCCCTTCGGCATTGCCTCTCCCGGGTTCCTCTCTGCCCGAAGGCAGAGAGTTCGACCATATAGCTGAAAAAGATTTCAGCTAGTCGAGCTATGGTGTCTGGGAAAGTCAATTTTTATGAGAAGACACTGCCAGAAGGATGCCATTGGAGTAAGGACGAGGCGATTTCCCTGCCCGCTCGGTGGCAGTGACCGGCAAACTCATATCTATTACATTTTCTCTCTCTCTCTCTCCCATTTATTGCTATCTCTTTCTCTCTCTCTCTTTCTCCTTCTCTCATTCTTTTTTGCTTCATGTCTGTTCATCATCATCATCATCATCATCATCATTATCCTTCGACCTCCCTATGGTTGGTCAGAATCCCCCTTGACAATCCCTTTCCACACTGATCGGTCTAGCATTGCTGTCTCTAGATCCCTAATATCCAACCCGAAGTCCCGAGCTATGGTGCCGGTATTTACTAGCACCCCAGCACGAGGGTAGATGTGGCACAAAGGCCGAGTTTAACGTGGGACATCCGAGCCCCTTAGGTTCGGTCAAAAATTCCCCGTAGAACCCGCATAAACGGGATCGGGTCGGTCCACCTTCCCGAACGAGACTCTGCTCTTCAGCATTGCCTCGTCAGGATTTCTCTCTGCCCAAAGGCTGAGAGTTCGACCGTATAGCTGAAAAGATTTCAGCTAGTCGAGCTATGGTGTCTGGGAAAGTCAATTTTTATGAAAAGACACAGAAGGATGACATAGGAGTGAGGATGAAACGATTTCACTGTCCGCTTGGTGGCAGTAGCCGGCAATCTGTAATCGTTTTTGTTTGAGCTTAAGAGAGATTTGGTCTCAGTTCCCCGTAGATTGTAATAAGCGTTGCATGGGATCTCCAAATGATGTTCTGAATTTTTCTAAGATTTCTATATGGTCCATCCAGTCGTAATGGTAATCTTCGTAATGGTATCTCTCAGGATAGCTAGTTTTTATTCAATACTACTTACTTATTGGTCATCCTGTTTGACCAACGGGATAATATCTTACTGAAATAAAAAGGTTTTAGAGAATTTGGTGACTTAGTTCAATCCCTGAGCCAGGCAGTCGTTCATATTTCACACAATGCCTTTTCAAATGCCTTATTTGAAGAAAAATATTCACTAATTACTCCTTAATTTACTCAATAAATTAGTTTTATTTCGGTTATTCTGGTGCTGAGTTGTTTCGGTTCTGAGTCGTCCTGGTGTTCAGTTAGCGTTGTTGAGTTGGCGGTGTTGAGTTGGCGGTGTTGAGTTGTCTTGCATTCAAACGGTTCTATCTCAGTTTACAAATATCTGTCTGATGAAGAACGGGCGGAACGACGGTCGAAACGCCGTGATAATAACGAAAAAAGATAATGACAAAAATCAGAAATAAATACCTTTTATTAAGTTCATAATCGTCACATTGTTGGTATTTCTGTATGTGCACAAACCCGTTCGGGGTCTGCAGTCCAACAACATATTTCAACCGTAATTATAGAGGTTTTTAATTACATGCGAAAAAGAACAGTCAAAAATCCCTCCCAAAGGGAAAACCTGAATTATTAGACAAGTATATAAATGCAGTATTTAATAAAATGTCAAACGCCTCCCAAATTGTGAAGCTTAAAGACAGCCACGATAATAATTGTGATCTGAAGTAATATATTAGTATACGTTAATTAGGGGTCAGGACAAGCTGTTGCTGGCAGAAGACGAGTTTCAAAACAACAGCATGAGTAATAATAACTAATATGGCAAAAATAGAAAACAATTTGGTAAAAAAAAAAGAATCGTTTGTCTCCTAGAACTCTGTTCTTTTATTCCAATATTTTCTTTCCTCGAAATTTTTGGCCGTGGAATTCTCTTCAGGCATTCTGCTTTCCTGTCAATTACGATCTTCAAAAATTTAGATGCAGCGTCAATCGCCATCTTCTGTCTCCTTGAATCTTTGTGTCCTCTTTGGATGTGAAAGCGGCCCCTAAAGTCACGTGATTTCAACTCCATTGAGGAAGTGATGAAAAGGGAAATTCAAATTCTGGGTGTACAGCCAATAAATCGAGATTTACTTTTTTCATTCGTTCTTTTTCTTCAGTTCCTTCTTATTTTTATTCCTTTTTATCCTTCACACTCTTTCTTTCCTTCTCTCTTTCTTTCTTTCTGTTTTTTCTTTCTTTCTTTCTTTCTTTCTTTCTTTCTTTCTTTCTTTCTTTCTTTCTTCCCCACCCCCCAACATTTACTTAATTTTTCTTTCTTCATTCATTTATTACTTCTTTTTTATCCCTTTATTCTTTCGTTTCTTCCTTTTTTGGCAATCCCTTCAGCTGTCATTTGTTTTTATCGTTCACACCTTTCTTTCTTTCTTTCTTTCTTTCATTCTTTCTTTCTTTCTTTCTTTCTTTCTTTCTTTCTTTCTTTCTTTCTTTCTCACCCTTCCAAAATTTTCTTAATTTATCTTTATTTCATTTATTACTTCTTTTCTATCACATCCTTCTTACTTTCCTTCTTTCTTTCTTTCTTTCTTTCTTTCTTTTCCGACATTTTTTCATTTTTCTTTCTTTCTTTTCCGACATTTTTTCATTTTTCTTTCTTTCTTTTCCGACATTTTTCATTTTTCTTTCTTTGTTTCTTTCTTTGTTTGTTTGTTTCTTTGTTTGTTTGTTTCTTTCTTTCCGAGATTTGTTCTTTTTTTCTTTTCTTTCTTTGTTTTTCATATATTTTTCTTTCATTCCAAAATTTCTGCAGTTTCTTTCTTTCTTTTCCGACATTTTTTCATTTTTCTTTCTTTCTTTCTTTCTTTCTTTCTTTCTTTCTTTCTATCTTTCTTTTCCGACATTTTTCATTTTTCTTTCTTTCTTTCTTTCTTTTCCGACATTTTTCATTTTTCTTTCTTTCTTTCTTTCTTTCTTTCTTTCTTTCTTTCTTTCTTTCTTTCTTTCTTCTTTTTCTCTTTTCTTTCTTTGTTTTTCATTTATTTTTCTTTCATTCCAAAATTTCTTCAATTTCTTTCTTTCTTTTCCGACATTTTTTCATTTTTCTTTCTTTCTTTCTTTCTTTCTTTCTTTTCCGACATTATTCATTTTTCTTTCTTTCTTTCTTTCTTTTCCGACATTTTTCATTTTTCTTTCTTTCTTTCTTTCTTTCTTTCTTTCTTTCTTCTTTTTCTCTTTTCTTTCTTTGTTTTTCATTTATTTTTCTTTCATTCCAAAATTTCTTCAATTTCTTTCTTTCTTTCTTTTTCGACATTTTTTCATTGTTCTTTCGTTCTTTCTTTCTTTCTTTCTTTCTCACCCTTCTAAAATTTTCTTAATTTTTCTTTCTTCATTCATTTATTACTTCTTTTCTATCACATCATTCTTACATTCCTACTTTCTTTCTTTCTTTCTTTCTTTCTTTCTTTCTTCTCACATTCAATAATCCTTCATCAATCCATTCTTTGTTTCTTTTTTCTCTTGAACTTTTCTCCCCGCCTTTCTTCAGGCTTCCTACTTCCCTGTAACCTAATATTTAAATGCAATGCCGATCATCATCTTCTGTCGCCTTAAATGCAATGCTATTAGTTTTCCCTGACGTTACTAAGAGACCGTTACGCACACAATCTGAGGCGCAAATTAACAACCAAATATCCCCATTGATAATAGATGCATAATACAATTACCTTTATAAAAGGCACGCCTTTCTAAAGTGGTTGAACTGAACGCCAATACGGTATGGACAAGGCATTTTTTATTTGTTCGTTGTTAATTAAACAAGAGAAAAAGACCCGGATGTTATATGTAGCCGGGAAATTGCAATATGTATTAATCATGTTGAAGGAGATCCGACAAAAAAAAAATCAAATATGTTCTTTTTAGTCTTCAATATATAAATACAAAGTTTACTTAAATTATCTATAAATGCTGATTGAGTTGATTACCTATACATATACCTAGCCACTGTTTTCTCAGTCTACAATTGTGACATGCCAGTGATATTTCCATGATTTCCATGACTGGCGTTAGGACAGAGAGTTAAACACATATCTTTCTCTAATGGTACTAGTACAAATTTGATGGTCAAATTTGATAGTGCTGATCGCAGTTGTTTCACATCGAACTTCTAACGTCTTTTTTGTATTATTAGGAGTTGGTTGGACCAACATTAAGAATTCACATGGCCATTATGGAATGACGTTCGTGACGAAAACAAATCCATAAATATTGATTACATCGGACATACAACTACATGCCTACCAAGGAGACTTACTTTGTACCTCTAAGGTCATAAAAAATCCGGCAAAAATGTTGATAGTTTTGTAGCATACCTATAGACGATAATGGGTATGTCTGCATTGGCATAAATACAGTAGTAAATACTGTATGTTGGTTTGCAGTTGGAGATTCATAAATATTAATTACATCGGACATACAACCACATGCCTACCAAGAAGACTTACTTTGTACCTCTAAGGTCATAAAAAATCCGGCAAAAACTTTGATAGGGATGATAATGGGTATGTCCCCATTGACATAAATACAGTAGCAAATACTGTATGTTAGTCTGCAGTTAGACATTCGTCTCCAGCTGTGCTGTTCAAACTATCTGCCGCTGGGCAGAGAGGATCCCCAGACGAGGCTATGTCGAAGGGCAGAGTTTCGTATCGGGAAACAGCTACCCGTCTCCGTTTTATACGGGGGTTCCGGGCAATTTTAGCCGAGCCTACGGGCTCGGATACCCCACATTAAATTCGGCCTTGTGACACATCTGACCGCGTGGAGCGGTTGATAGATACCCTGCATTTGGAAATTCATTGTGGAATTCACTTGACTCACTTCTAGCAGTTGAATACTTCTACGCACCGTTGGTGGATCTTATATGTGTTGTTCTTGTCCTAAGTCTTATCGTTCATTACCAATCTTATGTGATTATTCTATTCAGTAACCTCCCCAAGGTTACAACAAACAGCAAAATAATGTCTTGGATTCATATGAATAAAAATAATTAGAAACTGTATTTATTAATTTACTGCAGGCTTCTTTGTGCAAACAGGAGTGGCTGTTTCGTCTTAATAGGATTTGATTGTTATGTATAAGTATAGTGGGATATTATTAATGCGTCTGTATCGCTTATCTTTATTTAGGATACTTCTCCCTTTTTAGTCGTGGGGTAAGTGTGTTTTAATTTCGCCGATTAAGATCTGTAATGTCAGTTTCTTTTTGGCATACTTTTTCGAACGCTCATTCGCTCTAATTATATTTTTCTCTTTTTGCAACATATATATATATATATATATATATATATATTAAATAAAAACAGACCACTTTAAGGTTCCATGTAATAATTTATTTCACCACTGCGGATCATCAGACTTTAATTCAAAACCTTTTTTTTGTTTGTTTGTTTGGAAGTAAAGTCTGATGATCCGCAGTCCTTTTAAAAGGCTGTGGTGATACTTTGCTTACATGGAACCTAAAAATGGTCTGTTTTATTAAATTATTTGCTCTGGATTTACATTGAGCTCTCTGGATTTTATCCTCCTTAGGTTTACCCATACGGATTACGTAGTTTTCATAAACTAATATATATATATATATATATATATATATATATATATATATATATATATATATATATATGGATATTAAGGCTGCTGCCAGACGCCTACTCCCACCTCTCAGTCTTGATAGCAGAATCCAAACAAGAGAATAAATCAATACAGTTTTGTACCAGCGCGGCTGCAGGAGTTGCCCAGTCCGTCCGCCTTAGGGGCTCCACTCCAGGTTTGAATTCAGAGTTTTCCTTCTTTTAGACCAGTTGCCATCCAAGGCTATAGAACCCAAATGCTTAATATTTAAGAAAATACTAACCAAATTGACTTCCTTTTTCGCAGGTTTTCAGATAAGACGTATAGGCATCTCGGCACCATTTGTCGTAAGAATTCACTGAAAAACCATATGAGTAATTCAGTTAGAGAGACAATCTGCTGAAATCGTTTTATCAGCTCTACTATGTCTTCTCAACTGAGCAATGGTGAGAGGAAAAAGATCATTCAAGCAATGGTACCAACATTCATGCTCTGGCTTCTATGTTCAAAGTCCATTCAAAATCCATTAAGAGAACGGTGAATAAGTTAGCAAAAGAGGGAACAGTAGAAGAGAGGAAAACTGGATCAAGAAGTCACAACAGGAAGAGGTATCATCATTTCAACTTAGAAAAGATCCATCTCAATCCATTTGGACGTTTGGAACGCAAAAGAGGAGTTTCTGCTATGACAATCCAAAAGCAGTGAAAAAAAAACTTGAAAATTAAATTGTACGTGAAACGTGTGAGGCAACTTTTTACTCGTGGACAGAAAGTTAGATGGTTAGAAAAGGCAAAGATCATCTTGAATAAGTTGGAATAATATATAGATATATTTATTTGAATTTTATTTCAATACATCATGAAATTCTGATCCTTATCTATTATTAATTAATGATGAACATGTCAATTTCGTTTATGATCGATTTCATCACGATTCTTCTGTTAAGATTGGAGAGTAATTCGACGTTTTTATTGCTTAGAGTTCAATAGGTTTATAAAAACCTCGAAGATTTCCAGTAAAATATCTTTAATCATTTCAAAGACATAACGGTTCCAATCTTAAACTAACAATTGGACAATATATATATATATATATATATATATATATATATATATATATATATATATATATAATAAAAAAGAACGATCCGCGTAGGTGAAACCTAGGTAGGTTTGCCTGGCTCTTTTTAGGTTCATAGTTAAATTTGCTCTACTTAGTGTATTGAGCACTTTGCTTAGTTATTTTTACTTTACTCGTTTTGGAGGGTTTTTTTCTTGGACTCTGAACTTGGATTCTGGACATGTGTTTTTCTTAGTTTAACGTACTTAGTTCTTTTCTTTTTATTCCTTATTTTTCCTTGGGTATTGGTTTGTTCAATTACAAGCCAAAACACCTAAGGTTTTACGGACGAACATAATTACTTATATATATATATATATATATATATATATATATATATATATATATATATATATATGTGTGTGTGTGTGTGTGTGTGTGTGTGTGTGTGTGTGTATATATTCCGGATGTAACAGCAAAATTGTCCAAATCGTGTCACAACATCCCACAAAATTTTTTATATAAAAAAATAAACTGAGTTTCTTTAATCCATATTTTCAGTTAAGACGTTTCGTCATCTTGAAACCATTTGTCGTAAGAATTACTGAAAACCCCTTTGAGATATTCAACTAAAAATAGAGCAGATTAAAATTGTTTTGTGTCAGCACTATTGTCTTTCCAACTGAGCAATGGTGAGAGGAAAAAGATCATTCAGGCCTTCAATGGTACCTACATTCATACTCTGGCTTTCATCTTCAACGTCTATTCAAGAACTATCAAGAGAACGGTGAATATGTTTAAAAAAAGAGTGAACAGCAAAGAAGTGAAAACTGGATCAGGAGATCAAAACAGGGAAAGGGAAAATCATTTCAACTTAGAGCTAAAGAGATCAATTAGAAAAGATCCAACTCAATTCATAAAACGTTTGGCATGTGAGAGAGGAGATTCAGTTATGACAGTCCAAAGAGCAGTGAAAAAAAAAAAACTTGAAATCGTACGTGAAACCTGCGAGGCATCTTCTTACGCCAGGTCAGAAAGTTAAATGGTTAGAGAGGGAGAACATCATTTTGAATAAGTCGGAAAATGATTCTGGAGTAATATATATATATATATATATATATATATATGAACCCAATTTCAATCCATCATGAACTTCCGATCCTTATCTATGATTAGTTAATGATGAACATGTCATTTACGTTTATGATCGATTTCATCACGATTCTTCTGTTAAGCTTGGAGAGTAATTATACATTCTTATGGCTCGAAGTAGAGTCCAATAATATTAAAAAAATCTTGGGGGATTTCCAGTAAGATATATTTAATCATTTCACTATCGAAAAAATCGGACAATATATATATATATATATATATATATATATATATATATATTTCCTACACACACACACACACACACATATATATATATATATATATATATATATATATATATATATACAACAGAGCCTTAATTTTTTTACATATATATATATATATATATATAACGAAACCTGATTAAATTAGCCATTGTATATATATATATATATATATATATATATATATATATATATATTATAATAAAAAAAAGAACAGAACATTAAGGTATATTATCCGCTGTTCTTATTGATATTTTTATTTTTACAAAACAGAGCTCAATGTAAATTTACAGAGCATAAATATTATAAATTAACTGATTTAAATTATAGTTTCTTCGTGACACAGAAATTATTGTTTCGAAACTAGTCATCCGTATTCAGGTTTAATTTCAATATTAAACTTTAACTGGTGGATGACA